GCCGATGACGCAAATATGACTTGATCATCGGCATAGAAAAGGCATATGACGGTTAACTCGCCCATTCTTAACCGACATTCTGCATCTTTCAAAGTTTGCAAACACCTGTCCATAAATAGGTTGAACAGCCAAGGAGAAGCTACACAGCCCTGTCTGACACCTTTTTGAATGCAAAACCAGTACAAGTAGACCCCATTGATTCTGACACAAGCACTAGAGTCCATATAAAGAGACCTTAATACCTGTATCGAACCAGCGCTATATAATAAATATTCTATTATTATTCTAATTATCAATGCCGAGATTTTTCATAGTTTCCACATGTTTTTGCACTTTATTTGCAGACCTTACGTGATTTGTCAGTGTGTTCTGAAATAGAAATAACACAAAAGATCTCTTGTTACGTAGATAATGACATACATGTTCGAACATAACAAGGGGAAAATGGGACAATTTCGAATACACGCGTATTATTTTTCACTACAAGCTGAAATGAAAACCATTTACTCTTTTCTTTTAATTGAAATAAATTGAAGTGTTGTTTATTTAAAATAGAATAATATTCAAATACGCTGCATAGGATATAGCAGATAAATATTATCATTCATTTTCATCATTACAGCCCTTCACAAGTCCACTGCTGAACATAGGCCTCCCCCAAGTAATGCCACAAATCATGGTCCTTAGCCACCTGCATCCATCGACTTCCTGCATATCTTACCAGGTCGTCACTCCATCTAGTGGGAGGTCACCCTACACTACACCTACCGGTACGAGGCTGCCACTCGAGAACATTTCTTCCCCATCGGTTATCGGTTCTTCGAGCTATATGGCCGGCCCATTGCCACTTCAGCTTACTAATCCGTTTGGCTATGTCGGTCACTCTGGTTTTACTACGGATATCCTCATTTCTGAGTCTATCACACAGAGAAACTCCAAGCACAGCCCTCTCCATAGCTCGCTGAGCGACCTTGAGCGTCCTCATATGGCCAGCAGTGAAGTTAGTTTTTAGAGATTGAGGTATACCTGACGAGATGTGTCGTAATTTCCCGAACGCTGACCAGCCAAGTTGAATCCGTCGATTGACCTCTCGATCGAAGTTGGACTTACCTAGTCGGTCTATTTGTCCCAGGTAAACATACTCGACAACAACTTCGAGCATAGTGCTCCCAACAACTACCGGCATAGATGTGACATGGGTATTAAACATGGTCTTTTTTTTGTCCATGTTCATCTTAAGACCTATGCGTTCGGAGACACCATTGAGGCCATTGAGCACAGTGCTAAGGTCCTCCAGCGATTCTGCCATAAGGACTATATCGTCGGCAAACCGAAGGTGAGTGACGTACTCGCCATTGATGTTAATACCGTATCCTTTCCAGTGCAGTAGCTTGAAAACGTCTTCCAAAGCATCGGTGAAGAGTTTCGGGGAAATAACGTCACCCTGTCTTACACCTCTCTGCAGTTGGATAGATTTAGAGCTCTGGTTCTGTACTCGGATAGCCATGGTAGCCCTACTGTACAAACACTTCAGCACTTCGATATACCGACAGTCAACTTGGCACCGCTGAAGTGACTGTAGCACCGCCCAAATTTCGACGGAATCAAAGACTTTCTCATAGTCCAAATACGTCAGGCAAAGTGGCAGATTGTACTCTTCGGTCTTCTGTACAATCTGCTGCAGGGTATGTATATGGTCTATAGTACTGAAGCCTTTTCGGAAACCGGCTTGTTTGGGAGGCTGGAAGTCATCGAGTCTGCGTGCGAGACGATTCGTAATGACTCACGAAAACAGCACGTAGACGCGGCTCAGAAGGGAAATCGGTCTGTAGTTCTTCAAGAGAGCGTTGTCGCCTTTCTTAAAGAACAAGACCACCGCACTTCTTCTCCACGACTCCGGGGTAGTGCCACCATAGAGGACGAAATTGAAGAGCTTCTGAAGGACTTCAAGTACCGGTGTTCCACCCGCTTTCAGAAGCTCCGCTGTAATTCCATCCTCGCCTGGGGCCCTGCCGTTTTTAAGGGGCTGGAGAGCCATTCTAATCTCGATCAAACTGACGTCCGGGTTATCATCGGAATAGTGTCGGGTAAGACTTGCATTGTATCGTTACTCACACTTGCGTGTGGCTCCAACGCTGATGTGCACAGCTGCCCATAGAACCTCTCAATCTCACTCAAAATCTCAGGTGTCTCGGAAACGATGCTGCCACACTCAATCTTCAGCTTCGACAGTTGGCTCTTTCTGGCAGACAGATCTCTGGCAAAGACTTTGGAGCCCTGGTTCCGCTCGATCGCTTCTTTAATACGAGCAGTATTAAAGTTGCGTAAGTCTCGCCGCATGCATTTGGAGATCTGTCTGTTCAGTTGCCTGTATGCTGTCAAATCTGTTGACGATTGGAGCCTCATCTCCCTTCTAACAGCCATGAGATTAAGGGTGTAATCGGAGAGTTTTTTGTTCTTCTGCGGCGGGTCGACGTATGTAAATGGATGCACATGTTTTGGACTACCAACTTACTATAATCTCATAAAGTGTACTTGTATACTGTTTCGAAAACATACGATAAGATATGGCACAATACGCAAAAATACCATGTTTTAAGCCCGATTAAATACTTAAATATTTGTAATTATACTTTTTTCATCACGAGTTAAACATTTAGAATAAATTCGTTATTTTTTTTTAAATTTGACTAAGAACTCGAGGGACGATACTTACCCGCACCGGCAGCGTAGAAGAACTGCTAATTAATTTTAAAACTCACGAGACCATAGTTTTGTGATTTGTGCTCGCCGTGGATACGATAACCCCCGTGCAAACTTGATGAAAGATGATCAAAATTCGGGGTATCGCAAAGCGGGTTATTCGCATATCAATTTCCAGTAAGGCATTTCCAGGCATTATGTACGCCCATTGACAAATAAGTTGGTAGTTGCTACAATTTAAAAAGTACCCGTGCACGCATTTCTTTTCTTCATTTCTTTCTTTATGATCAAAGATCGCGCGTACGACTGAAGTTTTACAATTCCACTAGTTACACGGTGGTGCAGTGGCACAAACAAACAATCGCACATGCCGCGGGCAAAAATCGCGTCGTAAAATTTGTTACTATAGTCTTATAGTATCGTTGCGGGTGGGGGCAAAAGTATTACATATTTTATTTTATGATAATACATATAAATATATATTACATAATACAATATCTTATGTAATTATTATAAAATATACTATTAAATTTTAATGTTGGCAAACAATACATTGTTTAATATTATGTTATTTATAAAATAAGGACCTTCACACAGAATAAAGATGAACTTAGAAACAAATATTGTAAAATTTGCTTTATGAGCTTCACATAGAGGCACGGCCGTGGGCTCAAATGCCGCAAAAATGTTTACCCAAGGCTAACTCAATACTGTTTATTTCTAACTTATTAAGTAAACTTAATAACAGCACTGAAATTTATGTAAGTAAACCTACTTCACATTGCAGGATAAAATTTTACTGCGAGGATAACGTTTTTTATAAAAGAGTAAAGCCTAAAGTTGTAATAGTTGAGGATACATAGCTCTCCGAGATCACAGACAATATTGCTGCTGCTATACTATGGTTGCAGCCCGAGCGAGTCTGTTTGACAGGGGAAGATCACGCTCGCACAGAATACCACCGTAAAAACGCAGCTGAACATTTGTCTTTGTTGTTACAAATAAAGTAATACTGCTGTATTTCGTATGTTTAGTGTCGAGAACCGAATCCCCTTTCACTTGGAGCTAGGCATTCCATATTAGTCCTCAGGGGTAACAACGCATCTTCATTTTGATTTCATTTGATTGAGGATAGATGTAGATGTCTTGAGCCACAGCATCCACTTGTCATCAGATGGACCATCTGTTCGTTCTTATATATTAAACGATAATATGGGAATATTTTCTTGATCTTTTGACGTATTTTTATTGCTTAAACGATTCGAAGGCATCACTCATCTTTGTCCTTCCTTAGAAATTTCAAATCAACCAAATAATATTTTTTTACGTGGCCCGTAATTATAAGATTCCTATTTTAAAGTCTTTGTATAGTAAGCTAAAGAGAAGAGTCAATCAATTAGTTTAAATAATAATTAATCAATTAGTTTTTTTTAATTAGTCAATTAATTTTAAGTTAATTCAATATCGAAAATCATTTTATTAAGTAAATAGCAACCAAGTAACCAGCCTCCAAAAAAATTGTGGCCGTGGTGGGATAGTTTAAACGGTATCCAATTAATGGCAAATTCTATTCAAAAAGAGGCGTGGTAGTGCATATGGCCTAGCGCTTGCTGTGAATTTCACAATACGTGAGCAACCCGGGTTTGATCCCCGGCGGCTCCCGTGAAATTTTTAATTTCAATTTTAAGTGCTGATTTACCACCCGCTCGGCGATTAAGTAAAACATCGTGAGGAAACCGGCATATCTGAGAAATAAGAAAAAATATATTGAGGACATGTGAAGTTCATAAACACGCATTGGGGCAGCGCAACAGACTTTCTTGCTTTAAATCCCTCTCATAAATGAGAGTAGGCCTGTGCTCAGCAATAGAACGTACATAGGCTATATTTTAACTTTTAAGATTTTATTATTCTATGCGAAAAATTACTTTCACGTTAGTGTTTAGACTAAAATAAAATAACTTATTATCAAGAAGTGCTAGATTACAATACCGATACTGTCAAATATTAGAGTACTGTATTCAAAATAAAAACACTAAGGAATTAACGTATACCAAATCTCAATTCCCAACTAAATCCCTTTGACTGAAGATTTAAAACAACTACTAAAGTGGAAGGATTTGCACGCCATCAAACCATCTTTTCCTTTATGCTGCCACTACACGAGGCCTTTTCTCTTTACGCAAAACGTAAAATATACCAGATCGGTGACAGGCAGTATCAAAGCCACCTAGTCCACCAGCGTACAAACAATGCAGGGACGTCGTATAATAATGGTGTAACATATAAAAATAATATTACTCACATTTGACTCTAAAATGCAGCTCATTGGAGACTGTCTCCCCCTCCGCGTTGAGTGCGGAGCAGGCGTACCTCCCGCTGCTGTACCGCGTCACTTTCTGCAGCACCAGGCTTTGGTTACTGTGGAAGACGCGTGCCGTCGCGTTGTGCGCCAACGGCTTGTCCTGTTCGATATTTAAAATGCAAAAGAATCGGTAAAGGTTAAAATTTTCACTGTTTGAAATTCAAAATGCAAAACCCTTTTTAAACTGTTCATAGTAACACAATATAACTTTAATTCAAAGTTCATTCATATATTTATTAGAGCACAGATCGTAAATATGTAGCTCTCCATCATGAGTTGGGGAAGAGCCACATGCAAAAGTTGCTACGCTTATTTTGAGTTGTTATTAGGAAGTATCGTGTATTGTAAGTAAGCTGTTACCGTGTAGTGGTGGTGTAAGAATGTTCACTACCCACGGAAATCGCACCGTGGGTGTCGTCAGAGGGAAACGGAAACAAGAGACCGGCAGGATTATCTTCCTAATAACAACTACAAATCATGAAAAACTGCGGTTAACAAACCACCTACGAAGCGTGACAGCTTTGGCAAAATCCCTCTTCTGAGGCAATATGCGCGTTAGCCTGCGTTTAGCAATGTTTTTTTATAGACTGTCATAGTAATGGATGGTTATCAGAAAGACGCATCTTCTGTTTCATTTCCCTCTATTAAGGTGAGTCTACGCTAGAGGAGTCGAGTACGAGCGGAGCACGAGCCGAGCACAAACTCGTGAATTGTGGACCGACTCACAAACCAAACGAGCGCGTTTCGAGCGTTTGGTTCGTATTCGACTGTGCTCCGCCTATTATCCGTTTTTTGACGAACACAAAGGGATTTGCATTGCGCGATTGTTAAAGGCTCGATGTACGTACACACTTGACACCGCGAGTAGAGCGGCTCAGCTCATGCTCCGCTCCTCTAGCGTAGACTGACCTTTACATTTTACTACACCCACGGGATTATAGAGGAAAATGAAATAATGCAATTAAAACCAGATGAGAATTATTAATATATTACAAAATAAATACTTTATTAGGTGATATTGTTGGTGAATTTATCATCGCTAGCGTCATCTCATTTCTGAGAAGATTTTAGGGCAACGAAATATCTGCCGTGCTAACCCTACGCGTGTTGGCTGACTTTACATGGTTTTGATTTAATATTTTATAATTTCTAAATTACATAACTGCCCCGCACAGAACGTTCTGGCGTACACAAAACCTATTACAGCACTGACAAAGTTACTCATTGTGCAGTGTGCACTAAAGGACTTACTATTTCCCGTTCGGATCTGAAAGGATTAATAATAGTTAGAGTAGTTTCGATTTGTCCAGAGACACAAGCCGGCTGCAGGTAATGGCCCCGTTGAGGATACAAAAGCGTCATTGACGTTGCTCAAAGTCGTTGCTTGTACAAGAGATAGGATTGACAATGCAACTCGACTATCTCGAATAAAATGTTATTTTTAGAAGACTATAATTCGGTTTTTAATAGGTTTTATTTATTGATTAAAACTACTTTTACGGATTTTATCGCGTTTAATTTTAATTTTAATTATATTTATTTTTAATTTCCAACGTTTCGGGTGCTAGAAAGCACCCATGGTCACGGGTTAATCAATGTGTAGTGTTCGCGTAAATATAAGAAATCATTAGGTTTTATTTATTGAAATCCAGATAATTTAAATTACTGAATTTTATCACAAAATATTTTTTTTGTATAATTGTAAGTCAGTGCCTCACTAGTATCCCAATTGATAGTAAATGGTGATGCAGTTGAAAATAGTAAAACATACTGAGTTTAAGGCAGAGTCACATGCACACATTCCACCTGATGATAAATGGATGGTGTAGCTCATAGACACCTACATTTATCCCCAATTAAGAACAAAAATACAGATGCGTTGTCACTCCTGAGAACTAAGATGGAATGTCTCGTATCCATTAAAAAGGGTCTCCTGTTCTCAACACTCTTCATAAGAAACAAAGCTAATGTAGCTGCTATTTTACGGTGGTATAAACAGTAGTAATAGTGTAGTGAAGAAAGTAGTAGGTAAAAACGTTTAAGTTACAGGTTTCTTCTTATTTATCATATTATGGTTATGGCGTAATTAGTTACGCGGTGTTTCAGTGCGTGTTAATGCACTTTCTATGTCCTCTAAATAATTTATTCCTCAGGCATGCAGGCTTTCTCACAATGTTTCCAATGGAGATTGAGCACAGGTTGGTAGTTCACTGTGTTTATGGCGAGGCACCCTAATAGCACGGCTCTAATTCATCTAAACTGAAAATTACTTCGCCGTAAATGATGTTTGAAAATAAAATAATCTAGTGATAGTCATGGCTTGATTGTAAAATTACACTGAACTAAGCAATAAAAAGCTTAAGGACAATAAGAAGGTCTACATAGTTACAATAAAGTTTTTTACCTAATTTAAAATGTTATTCGATATTATGGAATAACATTTTTCGGTAAAATTTAAATTACTCTGAAACTATAGTCTATTTAATAAATAAGGATTCTCAAAATCGGTTCATAGCTGGCAAATATACGTATAAAAAAGCCTCTTGGCTGATCTCCACCCCTTTGTTGTCGAAATTTGACGCAGTAGACCCAAAAGATTTGCTTTGTTGTTCGTAAGTCGTACAGCAAAGGATTGGAATAATTTGCCAGCATCTGTCTTTCGATTTGATTATAATGTGGGTGGCTATTGTTATGCTAAGTCAGTGCGCTTTAACTTCCGGTAGTAGTCGAACACTTGCTTACATAAGTTAATAAAAACTAGCCAATGCGTGTCGGGCCACGCTCAATGTGAAGTTAAGGTGTCGTAGTTGTCCATCACAATACGTGAATTTAGAAGGGGTCTTCTTGAAATTATGTACATATTAAGGGAGTTCATGGAAAATTACGATACATCTTCTTGTCAGGCATACTTCAAAAGTTCAAAACAAGATTGTACCACCAGTGCGTGTTGCTAGTGATGACTTATGGATCTTAGAAATGGTCCTTCACTGCTAGCCGTATAAGGAAGCTAAAGGACGCTCAGCGAGCTATGGTGAGAGTTATGCTATGTTATATAAAAATGAGGATATCCAGAGTAGAACCAAAGTATCCGACATAGCCCAACGGATTAGTAAGCTGAAGTGGCAATGGGCTGGCCACATAGCTCGTATAACTAGCAAATGATGAGGAAGAAAGCTTCTCGAATGGTAGTATCGTACCAGTAGACAAAGCGTGGGACGGTCCCCCACTGGATGGAGTGTGATGACGTTGTAAGATATGAAGAAATTGAAGCGAAAACGCTGTTGTGTTTCGTATGTTGAGTGTAGAGAACCGGAGACCCTTTTTACTGAAAACGAGGCATTCCATCTTAGTCCTCACGGGTAACAACGCAGCTGAATTTTGATTTGTATTTGAGGATAGATGTAGATGTCTAGGGGCCACAGTAACCACTTACCATCAGGATGAATAGTTTAACACCGGCGAATTTTCCGGACCGATACGACCTGGGGACCTTCAAGAAAAGAGCGTACTCCTTTCTAAAGGGCCGGCAACGCACCTGCAATTCCCCTGGTGTTGCGGTTGATCATGGGCGGTGGTAGTCACTTAACATCAGGTGAGCCGCATGCTCGTTTGCCCCCTCTTCTATAAAAAAAAGGTGGACGGTGTGCTCATTTGTCACTCTTATCCTATAAAAAATATTAAAACCGCGGACCGACGGATGAACATGGCGAAACTATAAGGGTTCCTTGTTGTTTAACTACGAAACCCAAAAACCTGAGAACCTTCTCCTATTTTGACGTTGGTTAAAAATCGAACTCAAGACATATGCTGACGCAGGTTTGAAGTATTTCTTCTTCGAAAAAAGTTGCAGACAAGCGTATCAAAAAAGGAAGTATACGCTACATTTGCTACTTTGACAATTTCAAATAAAATGTTATGTATTTCGACCATGATTCCGCAAGTATATCTTTCCGAAGATATTCGTATGAAATTCGTTTTGAAAAATAATAAATTATTTGTATTCAAAGTCTAGCTTAGACGAAATTGGTTTCGTTATAGAATACTCGAGCGTTGCATTCGACCGCATTTTTATGCTGGCGATTCGAATATGAATGTCTATTAAAATCACAACGAGTTTTATCGTGGCATAATCTCGTCGCTGATCGTAATAGTTCACGGGAGTCTCCTTAACTTTCTCATATGCTGGCACCTAATATATTGAATAAAATGATTTTTTTTAACAAAATAAACATTATTTTGTTTGTTACATTTTTATGATTTTTAATGATCATATCATATATATCATCACAGTTCTGGGAAAGGAACACCAAGAAGCTTGGTCTTGAGCCACCTGCATACATATTCTTCCTGCATGTCTTACTAGGTATTCACTCCATCCAGTGCAACTCGAGAACCTTTCTTTACCATCGTTTGTCGATTATTCGATCAAACCATACCCACCCATTGCCACTTCAGCTTACTAAACCGTTGGACTAATACTGATACTGAGGATATCTGAAAATTTGGAATTTGAAAAAAAATTTGTAAAAAAAGGCCTACTATAAATTAAGCTTTGATAAACAATACGTTTTGTCTTTACATTTCCGTCGTAATGAGTTTTATGTATCTGATATTATCCATACTACACTAAAGGTTTGTTTGCTAAAGAGGACCTAAAAACCGCCGATGGCTATACTTATATTCTAGACATATACCGTCCTTTTTATAGCATAAGTATAGCAAACGAGTACACATTTCACCTAAAAGTAAGTGGATGCTGTGGCTCATAGGCATGTAATCGATTAACAATCAAAATGTTAGAATGTTTAAAAAGAGGCGTTGTCACCTTTGATGGCTAAGATGTATGCCTCATTTCGTAAAAATTGTCTACGGTTCTCTTTATTCATCATACGAAACATAGAAGCATTGAGCTGCTATTTATCGTTGGTATACTGTGATAGCATAGTCCTTCCATGGTTAAGTCGATTCATTCGTTCTACAACCACAATATGTCTGCAGCATGGCTCTACCACGTAAACCATAATTTATAATTTCATTACAAACACAAGTACTGTAACAGTAACTGTTAAATGTTAAACTACGGCGTTTTTACGGAATATA